ATATTCTCAGAATAACACAAAACATAGGTAATTGACTCAGGCTATAACTTGTTTTTTTGCACAAAAGCTCGATATTTTTCCCTTTTCAAATTCAAACTATCATTCCTTTTTTGTGAAATGTTTCTTGTGTTCTCCAAGAAATAAAAGGAAATTCTATTGATTGCATCAATGAGATAAACAAAACAAATCAAAGCTAGCAAGGCTTTTGAAATGTTTTTTCAAAAAAGCGAGATGGTGAGTTTGATAAGGTCAGAAAGCTTCATACAAAAAAAAGGTTTAAGGAGAAGGGCAAGCGTCTGACAATATATGTGCTGACGGAGAGAGACAGGCAAAGAAATAGGTAGAGACGTGGAGAAGAGAAGAAAGGAATAGATGAGAAGGGAACTAAGACGGATAGGATGCCCTGTCCGAGTCCTAAGAAGATTAGGTGGCATGAAGGGAGGTGAGAAGATGTCATGCTAAAGACAGAAAATAACAGATAACATCCTCTGTTTCAGATAGATAGGTTCTTTGTGGGTTGTAATATGATTGCAGTAGCTTTACACAGGGCAAACAAATTTATAACTGAACCCTAAAGATGTTTCTTTGCAAACCATTGATGTCAGACTTGGCGAGTACCAAGCCAGCACAATAAGCTCGGGACATGACAGTGCATCAGCTGCATTTCTGAGGAATCAGCTGGGTGTGAGTCAGCTGCCTACTGTTTCATTCCCTGGGGTTGGAAAGGTCTGGGGTCATTATGACAAAGAAAGTGAACTCAAACCAGTGCTGAGTCACTACGCATGTCAGGGTAGATAATGTAGAAATTAATAAGGTGGAACTGGAGAGCGCACTTAGGTGTGAAAGGAGCATGGAAAAGATGAGAGGAAAAGGGTGCATTTTACCCAATCTGCTTGAAAATAACCTGTATTCTGGATGATTGCTGAGACCATTCCAGGCCTAAGTCAACTTTTACTGTATTTAAGTGCTACCATTCAGTTCACCCATTTTGTACCAATGTGTTTCCATTTCATCCCTTTGGAGATAATATATAAAAAAATTAGGAAATTTGTTTTATTTAACCATAATATTCCAAGATCGTGCTCTGGTAGCGCAATGGTTACCACTCATGACCCATGTAAGGAGGCCTTAGTCCCCGATGTGGGCGACCCAGGTTCAAATCCGATTTGTGGTCCTTTGCCACATGTCTCTCCCCCTCTCTCATATCCCCTTCCTGTCAGCCTACTGTCAAAAAAAAAAACAAAAAACATGGCCCTATTGCTGTAAAAGTGCTAGTGCTAAGTGCTGTTCTCTTGCTAAGTACTTGGTTAAATACTAAAGATGGAAAATTCTAAATAGTGTTTCAAAATGTAGAAAAATATATATATATATATTACAGTCTAGTGTATCTAGTGTCTATTCTAGTGTAAATGTAACCATGGCAAGTACAGATTGTTACACGGTGATTATTAAATATTCCATAGTAAGGGGATGGAATCAGGTCAGAAAATACAAATTTGCTGCAATTTCTTGTGATTATTCTTTTTTTTTTTTTTTCTATGTACCATAAAGTAATTCTCTATTAAAGACCCAGAATTTCTTTTAACTAAGTTTAATAAATCCGGCAATTTGTCTGCTTCCTGTTTTCACTGTTCTAGGAGTGGCATCTCCTCTTGATGTTTATTTATGTGTTACATAACTGGGACTACTTAAAATACAAAAAGCTGTGAATTCTAAAACCATCTTTTGCTACAACTGAAAGGCTTTATTGTTCATTCTTTTTTCGGAAATAACCCACACATAATAAGACTCAATGAAGATAATCCGTTGAAATTAACTTTTATTTCTTACTAGAGATCCACTATTTGATTTTTCTTATTATAGACCCATAGCATTGTCTGGCTCTATGTTTAGGGTTTTTGCCTATGCAGCCTCACTAGCTTTACTTTGAGGTATTTTCTTGACTTTAGCTCAATCTATCCTATCAACTCTGGTTAGTATCCCTATCCATGTTAATACATGCCTATAGCTGATGTGTGGATTTCTGCATCTCGTCAGTGCTACCATGGACCTTCCTTCTCTATCTAATGTTCTCTTTACAAGGACTGCAGGTTAGCTAGACACCTCTTTTCCATTTTTGGATAATATCCTGAACTTTTCCTGTTGCATAATTGACATGTCTGATGTAGTTTTTGTAGGCTGCTTGTTAACTAATGTTTTCTATGAAACTTATGATACCCTAATAAAACAGCTGCCTTTTTGTTTGTTAGCTTTTTTTTCTTTTCCAGGATCAGCACAAATTAATGAGAGACTAATTAGGTTTAACCACATTAAGTAATGTCCCAGTTTTCTAAGGTATAAATCTCATTAGATCTGGAACAAAACTAAAACAGCATTCAGGAAAATAACTTAGATGATGAAAGAGAGCTGAGGGAAAGCATTAATTATATTCTCTACCTGAAGTTCTTAAAATAAGTTATCTGCTCATTGATTGTTACTTTAAGCTTAAGTTTCATACTGGAAAAGAATTAATGTGAAATAAATTGAAAATTATATTTTTAAGTTGACCAATGTTGAACTTCAAGAAGAATAATTACATTTGTGAGGCACTGGATATCACATATTATAAGTGTGTTTTTTGTATCAGCACATTATTGTGGTCTTAAAATTATAAAGCCTTAGGGCAGCCTCTTCAGTAGTGGTGAATCGATGCTTTTGGCATCTATTTAAAAATGCATATTTTCAGTGACTGATGTTTTGTTGCTAGTTGCAGTATACTGTATTCTAAGCAGTTTGATTTTTTTCTTTTGCCATGGGTACAAAACTGAGTATTTTTTTCTTGGAAAGAATAGGAAAACTCATGATGAAAGTAGAGAATTGAAAAGGGTGAGATGCTGTGAGATGGGAAAATTGAAGTCCGAAAAAAATAAAAATCTAACCTGAAGGGAGTTAAGGACACTTATTTAAAAAGGAGGTATTGGTTGTAAAATGAGAAAACATGCGTGAGGAGGCAGATAGACGATTTATTAAACATATTATCCAGAGAAGTGACAAAAAGAGAGCTGAATCGGCACAGAGAGTAAGGGAGGACTGAGGGACCAAGATACAGACATATAAATGTACACCTATATGGTTTTAAATCAAATCCCTGTAAAAAAAAAATGTCTTTTGCAAAACAGCGAGAGCATAAAGAGTAGAAATATACTCATTATGTATTTCCTTATATGTTTTTCAATACCTGAAAGAAATGAAAATGTCTGTGTTTTTAATCTTAAGGGTTTTTTTTTTTTATCTTTTCTCCCAAATACTATGAAGTAAAAAGATAAGTTGGCTTTACACAGGCAGGATCATAGAGATGTTACACTGTAAAAATGTAAGCTTAGCTGAGTAACATGTTTTGCTACAGTGTGATGTTATTTTTATGTATTAAACGAAACAAAATAAATTATATTTCTGGTCAATTATAATCAAACTGGTTTCTATCAAATAAAATATGTACTTTTTGGGGCAAACACATATTTCTTGACATCATCCAAGTATAATATTTTGTCAAATCAGACATTACAGATGGTCACCAGTGTGGGATCTGTAACACTGTAAAAAATACTATCCTCAGTGTCTATGGCTTTTGGTGACGATTGCTGGAGGCTTTGAATTATAAAGACTTTAACCTTTGTGACTTTTAAACTGGATTATGTCGATAAAGTCTCATACACATCTGTCCTTTGCTTATGTATGCAAAATAAATGTATGCATCATGTGGGGACATCTCATTTTATTAAGTTAACCTTATTATTTTCTGTCGACTCTTCCAGAAATCTTTTGCTGAATTTGCATGTTGCTCATCTGCAGCTACTGTTGAACAGGGCACTGAAGCAACCTTTTAGGGAGTAGAGCATGCAGATTCACACAATATTAAGAATAAGATGATAATAAGCAATAACTGACTTTGTACATCCATTAACAACTGAAACACTGCTCTTTTTAAGTATTGACAAATTTTCATACTGTTTTTCATATTTAGCATCTTATTTCTAGTATATTCTATTCTATTTATATTCATTGACATTGTGCTTTATATATAATTTAAATAAAGCACAATGTTAAGTAATATTTGGTAGTTGCAAATTTTCAAGCAGTTTATCTTCCTAAGGTTTTAAAAAATAATCCAGAAAAAAAGATAAGCCACTACTTTGTATTCCAACTCTTTAAAAGAAATTTAATGGTGTCTAACTCAATGGCCATTTCTCACTATGTGTACTTGTGCATGAAACGTCATCAGCCTCAGCCCTAGCACTGTTCCAATTCACAAGAACATATGATCGAGAAGCGGACAAAGTCCCCAGATGTTGTTCTCGCCCCTCTGTCTTTACCCAGCATGCGCCAAAGCAGAAATGTGCGTTATCCAGACTGACAGCTGACCCAGCATGCACTGCGGCAGAAGCAGGTTCCAGTGGAGCGCCCACAGAGCTTATAGTATTAAGTTAAAAGTTCTCTGTTGCCATTATTCTATAAAAGTAAATTTTAACATCTGTTGAGGCAAGAAAATTATCCTTTTAAGCCTCCCTATATGGCCCATTTACTGATTTAGTGCGTAATTTGAAGTCTGATTTTCAGAAGACCATGGCAACCAGCTGACCTATGAAGCTAACCACAGCCGGGACTAACATTAGCCCATCCACAACAGCCCTCTCTGAGCACAGCCTTGTTTGAACCACTGGCTCTGATGGCATTTTTTATTTTTATTTTTTTGTCCTATTATTTTGCAAAACGTTCTGTTGATTTGTGTTTATACGACTGTGTTAATAATTATTTTCCCACTTAATGAAGAAAAGTAATACTTTATTATTATATAAAGTTGCACAGATCTATTCACAAATTTTCTAACTTGTGTCTCCTTCCCTTTCTATTCCACCCTTTAGGGCCAACTGTTGCATGTACACATTTGTGTTGCTTGCAGAAGTGTGTTTTGCTCTTTCCCTCCTGCCACGCTCCTTAACTCCAGCTCTGTCAGCACATGGTTCGAGAGGATTAGCATCATGGTGATCTTGCTCAACTGTGTGACGCTTGGCATGTACCAGCCCTGCGAGAACATTGACTGTACCTCGGACCGCTGTCAGATACTCCAGGTGAGGCAAACCTTTGTACGTCAGTATAATCACAGTGAGGGAGACGTAGAACAAAACATCCAATTATAGAAAACACACTCCTCTTCTTGTCAACATTCTTCAAGCTGTGATAAAAAACACACTTCAGATAGGTTTTACTTCCCTCCTGGAATGTTTATATTTTCTCCCTCCTCTAAGGAGGGAATTGGGGCTTTGTTTGTGTTAATAAAGTCTTGCAGAGTAGCATTATGATTTTGTTGCCTGTTGAGAGCAGGAACAGCGTTTGAGACCATGCCACAGGTGCCTTTAACGAGCATCCATTTGGGAAATAAATGTACTTGCAGACTTACTCTTTATTCTTCTGCAATTTATTCTTCTAATTATAAAATTAAATATGGATGTTCAGTTTTCGTTTTCAGGTGTTTCTTTTAGTGACATCAGGACATTCACCCATAATTCAAATATCAACAAAGATGATATATTTTTTTTAAATCATTCAAAATCGATGGTTTCTCAATCAGCATGTGGAAATCTGCAATAACACAAATTGTGTATGTGCATATGCTGTTACGGTTCTTTCATAAATTGGCCTTAGGCCAGCTCCCCCTTTTACCAGTCCCCAACTATTGAGAAAATTGACGTGAGAAAATTTTGGAGTGGGCCTGTTATTCTCCAGCGCAGTCAGGAATGTAACCCAAATGCACACGATTAAAGGCGGTGAATAATCTATAGATTAGTTATTCTGCTTTATATTGTGAATAAATTGTCTTACAACTGTGTTTAGTACATACCCCCTGAAGTGTGGTGTTGATAGCTTGGGGTTTGTGCTGTACACTCCCCCATTTACTTTATTTTTTATTTGAAATTAGCCGTGAACAAAGCATCCCTTGATTTTTTTATTATTTGGTTGCATCCTTGCTTAGTTTTGTCTGAACTGAGGCAACAGAGTTCCCCAACCTCAATGTTCTGTTTCAACACCTTACTCTTCCCTGGCTTCATAGGTACTAGATATCATCAGGTTAAAGGGATTGTTAATGTTTTTGGAAATGAAGTTTTCTGAAACGTTAACCATCTGTAGTTCAGATGTAACAGTGTCCCTGCTGTTACAGAGCCTCCTGCTCTGAGAAACAGGTGGTAACGTACCAGAGAAAAAGTAATTCTGGTACAGTATAATCAAGGGTAGATGCTAAAAGAAAAACATGCGTGTGGTTTGTTAGACTATTTCAACACTTTATGTCAGACCTCTACATAAATAAGGGAAATGTTTTGGTCCTGTTGGTGTGGAACACAGTTGTTGTGAACAGAATTATGTGAAAAAGCTCAACTACTGCTGGAGGAGGGATCCAATACAGACAAAGAAAGAAAGTCAGAAGGCATTCTTGAAATCAGAAAGAAGCAGCAGGAAATCAACGTACGCTGTCTCACCTTCCTTTGGTTGTCCGTAGTGGATCCCTTCGCTGGACAGACAAATTTCAAGAGGACAGAGAAACCTGCTTAAAGATAGTTTAAAAGTCAGAGAAACAGCACTACAGCTACATAGGAGAGGAAGATAGTGGAGGAGAAGGTTGTTGCTCAAGTTAATGCGTAGGTTTATATGAATTGGTCTATTGCAGGCCGATTTTAAATTTATTAAAAGCACTCTCCTCCCTGTTGCTCCATTTGTAAATCACTAAAATAAGATTCTTCCCGATCATAATCACACTCTTAGACTGAACAGGAATAACATATTTTCTAAATTTTGATAGCAGAAACTGAATTTAAGAAAGCAAAAAAACAAAACCATACTAGTAGGAATTAAGTTTTATATATATCTAAAAAATTATAAATATTTTAATTGGCCGCTCTGACATTTTTCAGCTTGACTGAAAATGTGTCTATGATATAAAAAATAATATAAATGTTGACCAGTAATTTTAGGAATATGGAGATCTGAAATTCATTTATAGACATCCAAAATGTTTATTTTTTTATGTGGAGAATGTCATTTTGTTTGAAATGGTCATTTAGACAAAGAAAAAAATGTCATTTCAGATATCAGGAAAACATATTCAGTAAAGCTAGTACATAGCAAAACGGCTTGCCATAGATGTTGTTACAGTGAAAATAATATGGAATTATTTCACGAATGATAGTAGATCAATGTATCTATTGAGGTGAAATCTTTTTGCACCTGGTGAAAATGAGGTCTAAATACATTGCTATAATATTTAGAACCTGTGTTTAATCTCATGTGTCCCTGCTCATGTTGATTCAGTTTTTTCTTACACAGTAAATACGTGGCTGTTGGCAGCTGTGCTTTAGATGTTATCATCCCAATAAATGGCCGTTATAAGTGGATATCAGTCTCATAACATCGCATAAGTAATTCATTTTCCCCCATGGAATTAATTAATGTATTTATGTGTAATCTAAAGATAATTTCAGTAGTTCTCCATGTACTCTAAATATAATTAATAAAAACAAAATTATATGTACCTCGCTCATATTAAACAAACCAAAAGCAAGTGATCTCATGCCCTGTCAGCTAAGTTGTTGAATCCTCTCCCTCAAAATATTTAATTCTCTATGAAAAAGTGACGATCATTCTTTAATAAGAGCCTCGTCAAACGGACATGCAATGATTGTTTTAAAACCTAATGTGTGTAACAGACTTAGTGAATGATATATTTTTTTTCTATGTAAAAAAACTACTACAAAATTCTGATTAAATCAGGACATAAAACAACGTGATTGTCGGTAAGGAGAACGGAGACAGAGGAAACAGGAGCTCTGGGGAGAATGTTATTATGGTGACTTAAACAGAGGTTGAATAAACTCCTCTCTTTGTTATCCAGAAAAGTCAGAGTTTTCCTGTTTTCAGGTTTAGACAACTTAAAGTTTTTTCGGTAAAACTGCTTTGTGAAACAGACCCCTGAACATTACAGAAAACACCTGATTTCAGTGACTGCCTCAAGTTCAGGAGCTCCACCAAACTAGCCCCCCCTTCTCTCCCTATATATATATATATATATATATATATATATATATATATATATATATATATATATATATATATATATATAAAAAACAATTTTCAAGGTGCTGCTTTTCTGCCATTGTATCAGTAAGCCATGTTGGGCTTGGGGGTGGCGGGGGTGGGGGTGCAATGTGCTGTTGCCAGCTGGTGGAGAAAATCAGCATGTACCTCTGGGATTGTAATTGTTTTTCACTGAAGGCTTAATTTCAGCACTGACACAGAAAACCTAATTCTGCCTCACATGGTTTAGGCTGCCAATTTTTCATGTCCACTCATACTGAAAACCTTTTTGCTGTGACCTGCATAGAAACAGTATTATTAGAATACTTAGATTACTCCTTCTTTTGCTCCCATTACCCTCTCTACCATGCACTGGCTCCATGTTTTACTCTGTAACAAGCACACTGTCTCCCTAGGTAGGGGTCCTGTTCTGGACGCTGCTAATGGTAACTGGAGGGATATTGGTGATCTAGCTTAGATGGTTAACATGGCCCTAAAATTTATCTCTGGCCCTTTGCCCAGCATGAGCTTACGTTTTACTTGCAAGAAGTCGACTGGGATATTAACACTTGAAAGTCAAATACTTCATGTAGCTGAAAATCCTGATAGAGGTGCAGACATTACTCAATATACATAAGTAGGACATGGACGGATGGATCCATTTTTATAATTACTGTGAAAATGATTTACTCTAGAATGATATAAGAAAGTCAAATGAACTTTGGATGTGTAAACTCACTTTAGGATTTACAACAAACATGTTTCCTCCGCCACGATATCCAGATCCAACATTTTCTGACAGGTTTTCTATCAATTACAGTCAGCTAAAGTGGTGCCAGTAGCACAATGTTGATATCCAATAGAATGGATAATCATAGCATATTTAAAAATATTAGGTAAAAGTAAAAATTTTATATTTCTTTAGATTTTATGTCAATATTAAATCTTTATTTTGGAACCGGAGCCAGCTTTCATCTTTGAATCATTAAAAAAAGTCATAGATGTTATTGTGAGATGCTTAAAATGTTCTCCTTTTGATGTCTGATTTTTAAAAAGGGGATTTTACTTCACATCCCTGAGAACATTTTAGAACCCTCCCCTGCTTTTTTTTTTTAATCCATCTTTAAATTGCAATGGAAAATAGTGGAAAAAAATATATGGGGTTAACATTCAAAGCTTTTATAAAATGTTGGCAGTTGTTTAAAATTGTAATGAGTATAGGACTTTTTGGAAATCAATATATAAAAAACATAGAAAATCCCTTTATTGTCCCACAATGTATACATATTTGCATCCTTAAACTAAAAGTATAGTTTGAAGAAACAAAATTTTATTTCATTTAATTCACTTCATTTATATAGCAGCAATTTACCATATATGCCACCTCAAGTCACTTTACGGAGACAATACAGTCAGATTGGCTAAAAGTTTCGGTAAAGAAAAATCCTTTGATTGCATTGAGACATGCTGCTCCTGGATGAGCTTGCAACAAGAAGTTTTGCTTGCAGTTTGCTATTGACTCTTCGGCAATCCCTCACAAAATAAATGTTTAACAAAGGTTACGGTTAGGAGAATACTACAACAATGCACATCGTTTTATATAAACCGTGTTACAGTCATCAATTTATGTTATGCAACAACAATTTTTTTTTAAAACTAGCCTTTTCCCAAAGTGATTAAAATATATACAGCAGATATAGTTCACTGAGCCTACAAAAAGGCTGACAGATACAATGAGGGAAGTGTAAAATTTCCACCTAGAAATGCATGTACATGTGACACTGTTCTCAATCTCTCTTGATTCATGGAGACTTGCTAACAGAAGTATTTCCCCCCAAAGAAAACATCTAGGCCCAGATTAAACACCTTGCAAAAATACGTTAGGTAGAGATGAAAACAAACATTTATTTAAATAACCATAGTTTAAAACGTAAGTGGAGAAAATAGTGAATCAAATGGCTTTAGGAAGGATTTGTTTGTAGAGATCTATACTACAGTGAGTCTG